AGCAAGGTGCAAAATCGGCAGGCAGAAGAATAGTCAGGAAACAGGCAAGAGTCACGGTGTAAATCCAGCATATAACACAGCAGTAGCTCACACAGGAAACAAACCCAAATCAACGGGCTCCAAGCACAGGAAGTGTCCGGTATTTAAAGTTTGAGTTAATTGCAGATCTTCTACAGCTGGTTGGCAGGTGGAGTCAAAGTCTCCATAAGGAGAGTTGCCGAGTACAAAAAACCTGCAGCAGAAACCAAGTCCTTCCAGTGGCTGAATGGCTAGGTCTGTGCACCCAGGTTCAATCCCTGAACAGGTGCTGATCAGACAGGTATGTGACAAAATCGTGGCCCTAGAATTATTTCTTTCACTCTGGCGTGTGTGGCAATAGCTAATATGCGTTGTACACCATTTCTAGTTTATAGCTGCCTGAATTTCTTCTATCGTTGGACTGTTAGAAGGTAGTTTGTAAACTGTTAGAAGGTATAATTAAGGACTATTTGGTAAAATTTGTTAAGGATAAGGGCATAGTTAATGACAAACTCCAATGTATTTTGCCAAAATTGTAAAATTTCGAAAAAATTTGGGGGAAATAAAAAACACTAAATTTCACTTGCCTCTACTTGTTATGGTGCACCAATAGCCCTAAAAATTCAATATTCCAACAGTGGCTTTATGGCTGATGATGCAATGGCCCCATCCTACCCTGCATAGCCCGCCATAGACCCTGCATAGCCAACCATAGACACCACATGACCCACCATAGACCCCACATAGCCCGCCATAGACCCCACATAGCCCACCATAGAACGCACATAGCCAACCTGAGAGTCCACACAGCCCACCATAGAATCTGCACAGCCCAACTGAAAGTCCACACTATTACACTAATTGCCATTATTTTTCCTAGACTTCTACTTTCAAGGCTAGTTACTAAAACCAGTAATAATCAAATGCAAAGGCAATTATTAAATATAATAAAGAGTAGATACATCTATACAGTCTTACAGTGCAACTGGCCCTTTGAGGGCAACCATAATACTGATGCGGCCCGTGATGAAAGTGAATTTGACACCCCTAATCTACCAGCATTAGAGCAGGGGAGAGCAGGATGCTGGAGAGTGATTTGCCTTGCTGTGTCTGTGTAGGGGTGGCTCCATAAGATCATGCAAGGGAAAGGAGCCAACGTAAAACAGAATATCAGACCAGTGCGGCAGGAGGCTCAGAGCACACTGAGGAAATCTGTTACAGACTTCTCTCGCGGCTCTTTGTCATATGATGTTTTTGTCACATGACTAGAAGCAGGAAGTGGGGATAGATTTCTTCACTCTCCTGTATGGGCACCACACTGGTCCAAAGTCTGATACTGGTATCAGGTGCTGCAGCAAGCTTTCCAGCACTCAGCACCGGGACATGTGGATTTGGTTTAAATCCCAGACAGTTCTGCAGAAATCAGAATAGTCGGGAGGAATGGTTTAGATGCGCTTTGGGGATGATTTATATATCATTCGCCCAGCAATACACTGGCCGAATGCCGTTCACACGGCATTTTGCCACTAAAGATTCCTATGCTCCTCTGCTCTATCTTGTGGTGAGAATGCCATACACACTGCATTTGGCCAGTGTGTGGCTGGGCGGATGATTTATAAATCATCCCCTTAGAGTCAAAGTAGGACCCACACTAACTGCATTTAAAAATATAATTCTTGAATGCATTGTTTAGTGTTTTTATATCTGTCTACGTTCAGGTTTTTCATGGGCTTGTGTGAACTTGATTTGCACCAGTCCCACACACATCACTGGTCATGAACCCTATAGCTGGCCATACTCTTTAATTCAGTGGTGGCGAACCTATACTCTATACCAGTGGTGGCAAACCTATGGCACCCGTGCCAGAGAGGGCACGCGGGGCCTTCTCAGCTGGCACGCGAGTCAGACCGTCCCGGATCGCCGCCTCGGTATGCGATCCGGGGCGGTCACGATCAGGCAGCAGGAGCCTGCTGACAGGCATATTAAACAGTCACTTCCTCCTTGCTAGGATCCAGTGAGGCCCCAGCGAGCGGCTGTCTAATTTGCCTTGTAGGCCGCACACCCCCTGAGAGCCGCACAGCCCTCCCGAGAGCCGCACAGCCCCCCAAGAGCCCCCCCCCCCTAAGAGCCACACAGCCCCCCTGAGAGCCACATGGGCCTCTCTAACAGCCATACAGCCCCCGAGAGCCACACAGCCCCACTGAGAGCCACATGGGCCTCTCTAACAGCCATAAAGCTCCCGAGAGCCGCAGAGACCCCCTGAGAGACGCACAGCCCCCTGAGAGAGACACAGCTTATCTGAGAACTGCACAGCGCACCTGAAAGCCCACACAGTGCCCCTGAGAGACCGCACAGCTCACCTGAGAGCCTGCACAACCCTCCAGACCTAGGAGACATCAGGCTGCCACCCCAGAGCAACACAGTATGTAGGTTATATTATTCTGTATTTCTGTATAATGTATTGCTGGGATTTTCAGTCCTCTCTAGCTCATGGTATTATTCTGCATTGCTGTATAATGTATTGCTGGGATATGTAGTCCTCTACAGTTGATGGTATTCTGCATTGCTGTATAAGGTATTGCTGGGATTTGTAGTCCACTGTAGCCGGTGCCATTCTACATTGCTGTATATTGTATTGCTGGGATATGTAGTCTTCTATAGTTGGCGGTATTCTGCATTGTTGTATAGTGTATTGCTGGGATATGTAGTCCACTGTAGTCGGTGCCATTCTGTATTGCTGTATATTGTATTGCTGGCATATGTAGTCCTCTATAGTTGGCGGTATTCTGCATTGCTGTATAATGTATTGTTGGGATTTGTAGTCTTCTATAGTTGGCGGTATTCTGCATTGCTGTATAATGTATTGCTGGGATATGTAGTCCTCTATAGTTGACGGTATTCTGTATTGCTGTATAATGTATTGCTAAGTTTAGTTCCTTTACAGGTTGGGGTCAGTGACATGACTACCAGGGTCATAGTGGTCACAGTTGTACAGGGCCCTGGTGCTCCACCACTGACTCAAAGCTGTAGAGAGAATGTTGCCTTGCCGTGTGACATGTACCTTAGTAACACACTGCAATGGAACATTTTACTCATTAGCACAGTACAAAGGTGCATGTCACTCTGTAGTGGAGTTAAAACCTTGTGTATTATATTTTTCTTCTAAGATTTAAGCACATAATTAGTTCAGACGGTCGTATGAAGTGTTTTTCTAAAATAAATCATCAGTATTCGGGGTGGGCACTTTGAGACACATAAGTTGGTTTAGTGATCCAGTTTGGGCACTCGGGCTCAAAAAGGTTTGCCACCGCTGCTCTATACAATTTGATTGTACAATCAGCTTTAGGCTCACCACACACACTTCTACCATTAAGTTCCAGAGCCTCCAACAAAGATACAGGAGCATGCTTTTTTAGCACTGGAAAGCATTGAAACTCATAGAAATGCATAGAAACACATGCAAACACACCAGAATGGAATCCTATGTAAAAACTATTTTAAAAACGCGCCAGCACGCATCAGAAAGTCACAAAAATGCACATAAACACGTATGCAAAAACGCATGCAGAACTGGTCTGGAGATAGTGTGAACAAGCCCTACAACCTGAGCCTGGATTCACACCTGGGCACCAGCGTTTAGAGTCGTTTTCCAAACCTTTTCTTTTAGTGTTTGTGTGCGTTTACATGCGTTTGCAAATCATTTTTCCTCAAATCTCAGCTTTAGGCATTTTTGCATTGTGCAATGGGAAAAAGTTGCTGCTGTGCGTTGACCTGCATGGAGTGAGGGGAATTCATCAAAGCTGGAGCAGTTGCCCATAGTAACCAATTAGCTTCTATCTCACTGGCGTCACGAGGGGGGTGCAGCCTACACCGGGTGACTCCAAAATGACTGACAGCTATTTCGGTGTCACCCCTCTGAAAAGTTAGTAATGGACTGAGAGCCCGAGAAAGGAGGGGACCCGGCAGAATACCTCATCCCGCCGAACGAACGTCCCTTCCTCTCTTTGTCGGCGTCCATCACCAAGATGGCCGGCGGCAGTTAAGTGCACGTGACGACGCTGTGTGCATGCATGATGATGTCGCACACATGCACAACGGCGTCCCCGGAGGTGACACCTGGCGGCCACTCCTGGTGACACCCGCCCTGGGGACGTCTCTGTTTTATCTTTCATTGTCAAATCTTAACTGAACGACCTGAAGAGAGAAGCTGATCCAGATTCTGTCTGCTTTAGTTTTGATAAATGCCCCCCATTGCACACTACCGATAAAGAAAAGCTCCAGCTGCCACAACGCACTAGTTCGCCCATTACAACGGAACATTTTGTGAATGGCTCCAAATCATCTGTGTAACTTCCTGTCATAAAGGCAGACAAATGAAGTAAAGCGTTGTTCTCTGAACAACGTCCTGGAAGTTCCGGTGACATAACTAACCACAGGTACTCTTATGTAATTGTAATGGTTGCAGGTAAACATGTAGAGCCGTAATGGGTGTGGCGGTCTCTGAACTCTATCAAACTAAACCAGTCTGCCAGTAAATAATGAATCTTTCCATATGTACGGCTGCTATGACCAGTGTCATCACATGCGTTTCTGTGTGTCATAGAACATGTCAATGTGTGGAGAGCAGCACGCTCTGAATTGTATCTGACCACACAAAGTACACCTATGTCCGCCTATGTGTCTGAGCCCTGACTCAACTGTTCGCAGCTGACATTTTGAGTCTTGTTTTCCACTTCCTGATTCGTCTCTACACTTAGAAACATGTCGCGGGTTACAATTTAGGAAACCTGCTGTGTTTTCTCATGGCCTCTGCAGTTGATTTTCCCCCAACGTAAACAGTGTATATAAAGAAGCAGTTAACCATTAAACAGCCTATTCTTGAAGCTCCCTTTCCTGATCCCGTTATGATAAGTATGAACGCTCTGCCCGTTATTACTATGTCTATCATCGTTTGTATGTTGTGCGTTTTTCTCTTTCCTCACCGGAACACCGAAGACGTTTAACCCTCGATGCGCGGATTCTGCCAAGAAGCTGACGCTTTCATTACTCGGCTTCTTCCTGTGAACTTCACATAACTGGGAGTGGCAGATTATTAACCTCTTCCTTGTAGCTGCTGAAAGTGACTTTTCTCCTACTTCTCCTAGATTCCAGTGACTACAATTTCTCCTAAGCCCCAGCGAGTCGTGGCTACAAACAAGGCAGACCTTATAGTTTAGGAATTTGTTTTACTGTCACTTTGCCAGATCCAAGTAGTTATTTGTAAAACTGAAAAGGAAACTTCTAACGTACAACACAGGGAGTCGTACTGGACCCCGGGATAACAGGAAGTGAGTCAGACATATTGCAGCTTGGGACATTGTGTCTTTTTATAACTCAGGGAATTTCCCAGATCCATGGATTTAACAGTTTGCCAGGGAGCAGCTTTATTCCAATAAGGGGGGCCTACTAAAAGGGATAAGTTGATATCTTTTTCAGATTTGCCTACAAATTATCTGATACTTTGCTTCCCATTATAGTCTATGGGCATTCCGTTTGGCTTCATTATAGTCTATGGGCATACTTGGTGTCATTCACACTTGTCATTCCATATAAAATAATGATAATCCCACCTAATCTCAATATAGATCAATGCTACTGTGCTTGGAGAGTATGCCTGCTAAAGATTTATTTGATGTGTCATATTGTTCTTGTCTCCAAGGCCCATCTTTCTTCCCATTATACTCTATGGGCATTCTTGGTGTCATTCACCCTTGTCATTCCATAGAAAACAGGAAAAATCCAAAGTTATTTCAATTGTAAAAGATGTTACTATACATGGGGAAGATCTGTGGTAAAGGATAAATTGATATATTTTTCAGATTTGCCTACAAATTATCTGATACTTTGTTGAAAAAAATACAATCCCCTTTAAACAAGAAATCCCTAAAAGTGGAGATGGTCTGATAAATGGATCACAATGCGTAATATAATAAAGAGCTTAGAGTGGTGACTACTTTACAACACACACAAGGATGGGGAACACAAGTAGCCACCCTCCAGAAGGAAGGACAATGTCAGCACCAATTCAGAGATGATTTGAGGATCTACAGCCGCGTGATAAACAAATAAGATACATTTTTGTTAATAGATAACGGTATACGAATGCATTTTTAAGATTTAATTGCTGAGTTTACGGTCACTTTAACCAAAAACATAACTAACACCAGCTGCTGCATAAATATCCCTATTATAAGATATTAGTAAAACAAAGAAATACAACAACTGAGGTGCTCCAAGCCCCCACCAAAATCATTAAACTTAAAGTGCTTCTGTCTACTGCAGATGAATTCATGAATCCCTAATTATACTCATAAATAACAACAATGTATGAGTACAATAGATCATCTGTGTACAAAGGGAAAACAATGCCTAAAATGTGTACAAATACCAACAATGAATCCCAAATTCATGAATAAATACCATAAAAGCATCACAGCTCTCTCTGGGCAGCCAGCAAACAAAACAACCTGTGCACATAGATTATAAAGTGCAATATTATGTCCAATTTACCAACAGTGTATCAAATACAGTGAGGGGAATTTATCAAAACTGGAGAAGACAAAATCTGGAGCTGTTGCCCAGGGCAACCAATTAGCTTCTCTCTTCAGTCTATTCAGTTAAGATTTGAAAATGAATAAAAGAAGTTGATTGGTTGTCATGTACTTCTACTCCAGATTTTGTCTGCTCCAATTTTGATAAATTCCCCTCGTTGTCTTATTCACAGAAACATTGTATAAAACGCAATAGGAATTTATCAAAACTGCAGCAGGGAGAATCAGGAGCAGTTGCCTATGGCAACCAATCAGCCTCTATCTTACATTTTCAAATCTTAGCTAAACAGACTGAAAAGACAAGCTGATTGGTTGCCATGGGCAACTGCACCAGATTCTATCTGCTCCAGTTTTGATAAATTCCTCCCAATGTCTTATTCACAGAAACAGTGTATCAAACACAGTAAGGGGAATTCATCAAAGTTGGAGCAGGCAGAATCTGGAGCAGTTGCTCATGGCAACCAATTAGCTATTATCTTTCATTTTCAAAGCTTAACTGAACAAACTGAAGAGAGAAGCTGATTAGTTACTATGCAAAACTGCTTCAGATTTTGTCTGCTCTAGTTTTGATAAATTCCTCCTTTGTCTTATTCACAGAAACAGTAAATCAAACACAATTTAGGGGAATTTATCAAAACTGATTCCACTGATGTTCTTCTAATCAGCTGTGGAAAGAGTCTGTGCTGTATAAAGAAGTAAAATAAATAATTAATACCTGATCCTAACACTTTAATTAAAACTGTGGTCTTAGTTACATACACTCAAAAAATACTTGTGGAAGCCATGATTAAATGTGGCTTTAGAAGTTTAGGGCAAAAGACTTGGTGGTCACTTGTCAGCAGAGGTTTCTCCACTGTGGGCCTAAAGAGCTATGAAGATGTTTCAGTCTATTGCCCTTTTGCTTGACTTAAAGTGACACTAAACTCAGGAGTTAAACCCTAAACCTGCATTCAAGTACCTTAACTATTAACAAAAATGTATCTTATTTGTGTATCACTCGGCTGTAGATCCTCAAATCATCTCTGAATTGGTGCTGACACTGTCCTTCCTTCTGGAGGGAGGCTACTTTTGTTCCCCATGGTCCCTGTGTGTGTTGTAAAGTAGCCAAGCTAACTCCAGTGATGGACTACAATCTCATGTTTAGTTTACTAATTTGTATTGAGATTGTAGTCCATCATGGGAGGGAACTTGCAGTGGTGGCTACTTTACAACACACACAGGGACCATGAGAAACGAAAGTAGCCCCACTCCAGAAGGAAGGACAGTGTCAGCACCAATTCAGAGAGGATTTGAGGATCTACAGTTAAGGTACTTGAATGTATTTTCAACATTTAACTGCAGAGCTTGGTGTAATTTGGCCCAATTGGCCACCTGTAAGGGATACCAGATAGTGTCTAATTCTGCCAAAATATCCGAGTGCAGTTTCACCTATAGCATCCACATTTCCCTTAAGGCAAAGCATGCTAATACTCAGGGCACAAGCTATATTTGCAGGGCAAAGACGTCAGCCAGTAACCCACAAAAAAGAGTGAGAGATGTCAGAGTCCATTTTCAGGTGAAAGGGCAGTTGGCAATCCAAGAGAGTAGTCTTTATCCAAGCAGGGGTTATGACAGGTAACAATCCAAGAGAGTAGTCGTTATTCCAACATAGGTCATGGCAGGTGGCAATCCAAGAAAGTAGTCTTTATCCAAGCAGGGGTCATGACAGGTAACAATCTAAGAGAGTAGTCGTTATTCCAACATAGGTCAGGGCAGGTGGCAATCCAAGAAAGTAGTCTTTAGCCAAGCAGGGACCATGACAGGTAACAATCCAAGAGAGTAGTCGTTATTCCAACATAGGTCATGGCAGGTGGCAATCCAAGAAAGTAGTCATTTTCAAGCAGGAGTCAGGGCAGGTGGCCATCCAAAAGAGTAGGCATTATCCAAGCAGGGGTCAGGGCAGGCAGCAATCCAAGAGAGTAGTTGTTATCCAAGCAGGCAACAGGGCAGGTGGCAGTCCAAGTGAGTAGTCATTTTCCAAGCAGGGATGAAGGCAGGTGGCAATCCAAGAGAATAGTTGTACCCGAAGCAAAGGTCCATTGCAGGGTGAACAGATCAGGCAACGCAAAGCACAAGAGCACAGGTCAGGTGCCTACCCTCTGCCTAACAATGAGGATACCTCCAGAGCTAAGTGCCATCAGGCAATGGGAGGTGGGGGGTATTGTGCCAGGCCTGGCCTTTTACTGGCCTGCTTCAAGTGCTGTCCAACAGCAGAAGTATGCACCTCAGCTCATACTGTTTAATAAGTGCCTTGGTTAAAATAAGGTATTTTCTCTGAGAGCTTTTGGATTAATGTTACAATGTATTACAAAATCTGCTGTAGTGTTTAGGCGGAACAAATTTAAAGCTACCAACTCTATGCAGCGCTATGCTATTGATTTGTATATTTAAATAGAATGCACCAGACAACCCATTATACAGATGGGCAGGCCCGGCGCTACCGCAAGGCAAGTCAGGCGGCCGCCTGAGGGCGCTGCAGGGTGAGGGCGGAAAAAACATGGCATTTTGACAAGTACTTGTACTTGTCAAAATGCCCCGATGTTTACGCTATGTTTCTTTTTTCACTTACCTTTGGTGCGGGAGAGCAGCGGCGAGTCAGCGCTGGTCCAGTGGGAGGAGCTCCAGGTGGGGTCCTAATTTAGCTGGCCGGCGACTGCCAGAGGATCCCGACACGCGCGGCACCTCAAGCAGTCGCCGGCCAGCTAAATTAGGACCCCACCTGAAACTCCTCCCACCGGACCAGCGCTGACTCGCCGCTGCTCTCCCGCACCCAAGATAAGTGGGAAAAAAAACCAAAACATAGCGCAAACATCGGGGCATTTTGACAAGTACTTGTCAAAATGCCCTGTTTTCACAGGGGGGCAGAGAGGGGGGTGCAAAAATGCACCTTGCCTGTGTAGGCAAGAATCCTAGCACCGGCCCTGAAGATGGGCCAGTAGGAAGGTATGGGAGGTAGGAGGATGTGGGCAAACTTTGACAATGCTTAGAAGTGATGGAGCTTTGCCCAAGAGAATGTCCAGATGATGATCGTGTATGCATCTCTATGTGCCTGCACTAAAGAGCATTTCTTTCCCCCCGCACTGCACTTTAAAACTTGCTTTTAGTTAGTCAGTAGAGTACACAGCTTCTAGAGGTTGGGATGTAGATCTCAGGCCATATATGCAAACTTCAGGATTTCATGTTATACTGGATCCAGGGCTGTGAATCTGAATGTCCTAAGCTCTGTTGGCAGTAATGCAACCATCCTGGAAGCACTGTGGCTCCAACTCTTGGTGCATAAAGCTGATAGAGAGTGTAAGAAGAAGGATTCTGCATGTGGGTACACAGTAAACTAGACATCATGTACTGTACCATTAGGTGTCAAATTAGCAGGTTGTCTTCTGAGTTTCTAAAGAGGGTTTTAGTTTATCTAC